AATAGAGTGGAAAAAAATCATGTGTCATGTGGACTGTGTCTGCATGAAATAATAGCAGGCAGCAGAGATAGGTCACTAGGGACTGGTCCCTTCCAACTATGCCTGCCTCTGACATGCATCTGGTACTACACTGACCTGGGGACCAGAGTGCCCTCGGCAGGGTTTGCACACAGACATTACAGCTAATGCACCAAAGTCACTGGAACCTGAGCAGTCCTCTGAGGCTGAGATCCACAACTGAATAGTGTAACAAGTTTCCTACAAATTGGAACTTTGAACAGCAGGGATGGTCAGGAGTGTGACACATGCAGCTATACTTCTGTCATTTACTACTTCACAAAAAGCCATCAAATTCATTGTCCTCAAGTGAGTATGGACCCAGAACTGACACTCTCCAGTGAGTTTACAGGAGCAGAAAAGCATAAGAGAGGAAACTGTCCACTTTTCTCCAGAGGAGCCACTAGTGGATCCTAATCACCTATCTGGGTTGGCAAAGCAAAGTCATATTGACTTTATGTACAACAGATCTAAACCCAGTCCTATCCTGTGCCATCCTAATCATCTTTCTGACACACTTGAGCCCACTATTGCAGTCACTGCATCAATCTTTCTCATTGAAACTCTTCTTCTCTTTTGCTGACACTCCACCTTTCCAAGCATGATGTTTCTTTCCAAGGAATAGCTTCTCCTAGCAACATGCCCAAAGTGTGTGAGTAGATGCTTTACCATCTTGGTCTTCAAGGAGCACTGTGTCTGAATTTTCTCCAAGACATACATATCTGTTTGTTCTTTTGGCAATCCACAGGATATACCACACTCTTATACAGCACCACATTTCAAATGCATCTACTCTTCTTGTACCATCCTTATTCATTGTTCAACTAGTAAATGTATAGCAAGTGACTGAAAACATCATGGCTTGAATCAGGTGCACCTTAGTCTTTAAAGTGACATCAGCACTTAGAGAGGTTGGTTGCTCCTCAGTACTTTAGAGAGGTCCTGACAACAAATTTCCCCAATGAATTAAGTCTTTTGATTTACTGACTGCTGGTACCAAGGGTATTGATTGTGGATTCAAGTAAGATTAAACTGTTGACAATTTCAATCTTTTCTCCATCTGTCATGATGTTGCCTTATCAGCCTCATGGTAAGGAATTCTGTCTTCTTGATGTTGAGATGTAATCCATATTGAAGTCTCTAGTCTTTGATCTTCTGCAGCAAGTATTTCATGCTTCCTTACTTTCCACAACTAAGCTGTATCATCTACATAACACAAGTTGTTGATGAGTCTGATCCTGATGCCACATTCTTCTTCACTGAGTCCAGCTTCTCAATTAATCAGTACACATTGAATAGTTATAGAGAAAGGATACGCCTTTAGCTTTGCTGTTGTTGTGGGGGTGGTGGTGGTGGTGGTGTACCCTTGAGTTGGAACCAAGCCAGAGCTGACCCTCCAGCATGTTTTCAGAGACAGTAAGCTGCAAGGAGCTGAGTGTCCATTTTTCTTCCATGGAGCCAATGGTGGAGTCTAACCACAAACATTTTTTTCTTGGCAGCATGATTTCCTTACCACTAAGCTATCAGAGCTTTAATCTCAGATGACCTTAAATAGACAATTTGATCCTTTCTGGAAAATGCAGCTTTTTCATCAATAAAATGGAGATACTACAACAAAACTTTAGGACTAAACCTAGAAAAAATGTTTAGACTACTACCTGACCTTTATCCAAAGGTCATTTTGGAAAATGTCGCTATCACTACTTAATAATTCCTAGTAAAACACAGACTACGTGGTCTATACCTGCACATTCTAATGCAGTAACTATATACCTGCACATTCTAACGCAGTCACATGTGGCTATTTAACGTAACTAAAAGTAAATAAGAATTATAAATTCAATTCCCCAGCTGTACTCAAGAAACTCACTCAATGCCTTCGACTCAGAACAGACTTATGGCTGCCCCTGCTACACAGGAGGAGACTGTCCATATTTCTTCCACCGAGCAGCTTGTGGACTTGAACCGCACATCTTTAGGTTTAGAAGTGTAGCTCCCCACCTCCCAGGCCACCAGAGCTCTCTCTTGCTGTACTAGCAACATTTTAAAATGATCAATAACTACACTTTCTTCACTGCAGAAGTTCTATTGGACAATGCTGTTCTGTAATCTCAGAAAAAGTAAGAATGTAGAGCTACATATGAAAATATGACAAATAATTAGCCATCAATTTGTCACTGTCTTAAAATCAAGAAGAAACACTAAATTCAAAGGCAAATATCAGAAATATATGTTTGTGGAAACAGAAAAGACATTTCAGTGAAAATAAAATGAGAATGGTAAATTCTGAAGATAATGGGCTAGGGTTTTTTTTGGTTTTTTATTAACTAACTTTTACTTTAGAAACGTACTTTAAAGTAGCAAAAGCTTCCCAACTTAAAACTGTCATGTAACCCCTCCCCCCCCCAAAAAAAAACCACCAAATCCTGGAGATGCATAAGTTAGCCCATAATTTGTACATATGACAAAAGTATTCGTAACAACCTAAGCAAATTAAATTAATTTATAGAAAGAGCTCTACTGGCCAAGTAGTGAGAAGCTGTGCTGTAAACTAAATTATATTTATATTCATTTCTTTTTCTTTTCTTTTCCCAAATAAATTAAATCTTCAAAAGTTATATCCACAAACTGTTTTCTGGTTTAAATTTTCCATATTGTCTCTCTTTTTTTTTAAAGCTCATTCTATGATTATTTAAAGGAAGCTCTGGTGTCACTGCATGGTCAACTCAAATGCCGTGCTTCTCTAGGAGTTCAAATTCACCAGCTGCTCAAGGCAGAAAGATGTCCAATCTCCTCTCGTGCAATTTACAGTCTTGAAAACTCAAGGCAGGGTCAGCAAAGAGTCGGTTCCAACTTGATGGCAATGAAAGAGAGAGGTAGCTGCAAGAGGAGCTGTTGAGACATAACATCTGTACTGTAGTTTGGTTCCATGACCTGCTCCAAGGCAAAAGGTGGATGGTCTCCTCCTGTAACGATGTGCAGCCTTGGGAAACTGGTGGAAGGTCCTCATGAATTGGAATCAATTCAGCAGCAGTGGGTTAGGGTTCAGCTATTTATGTTTTGGATAAATAGAACACATTAAACTCGTGAAAAGTAACTTTTAGGGGAACTGAAACAACACCTCTTCCAATTTTATATCCTGCTCTCAAGCAACACTGGATAATTCTGGGAGGAAGCAAATTATTATAAATTAATCTATCTTAGGGAAAAGTTTTACATCAAAAATCCTACAGAAGGGCTCAAGAGAAGGTGAGCTTTATGCTGAGTATAACTTTGTCCAGAAAGAGTAAACTTCAACAGAGCTAATAATGCAATTCTAGCATAAATCAGTTGTTGATGAGGTATAGTCAATTCAATGACACTTAATAAATGCATAATTATAAAAGAGTAAAGTAAAAATTGTTTCTCTTACAATTTTTACACACTAAGTCCCGAGTACAGGTTTCATAAATCATTCCTTACATTTTTTTAAAGTGATATTAAAGTACTGTGCTAAATGTGACATAATAAACAAAATTTCATGTTTTCTGAATCTTAATAACTTATGTTTTCTTTTAAAGATACACTTACTATATAGCTTATTTTTCGCGTTACCTTTTAAAAGTTAATTAAAAAATCTTGGAGGTTTTGGGGATGAGTGGTTTTTTGTTTTGTTTTTTTCTTTTTGTGCCATTTTATCATTTTGATGAAAACCTTTCCAGTAAAAATAAAATATGTTCTAAGACCTTACAGTGTCAGCCTGTTCTAATACTAAAATGGCTTCAGTAAATGTGCTCTGGAGTTGAATTCAGAAGACATTCTCTTCTGCAACACTGGTGACATTTCTCTCAGATAAAAACAAGGCAAAAATCCCAATGGAGGGAAAAGAAAGTAAAACAACTTAGGATGTGAGGGTGTGGGGAATTATGTGCTGGTAAAAGTCATAGATTTAAAATTAAATCCAGCTACTCAAATACTATTGCAAAGGAAAAGTTGCACCAAAGCAATCTTTCTAGAGAATAATTCTTATCAAGGGAGTTCCTGATTTATGAACAGATATTTTTCCAAAGCACTTAGAAACATCTGCCTTGGAGACTAACTTAAACTGCAAAGTGCAAAACTAATGTGACAGCAATACAGTCCTACATTTCACAGAGTCATCAAATGATGTGACACAAAGTTTCTTAGTTATTCTAAATGGTGCTTTCGGTGCAAAAACATAAACTCTGTTGTTAAAATAAGTTTTCGGGTGCATTCCTGCTTCATGTTGAAAGTTCACTGTAGGTGGGAATGCCACTGATATTAAGTGTTAACTCATCTAAGAAGAATCTCCCAAATCAGTAGGGCAAATAGCTCTACCTTAGAAGTTGCAATATCAGAAAAAGGATGAGATGAGTGCCGGAAGAAACTCAAACTTCACATGTATCCATTTTCTCCTAGCTTTACAATATTTACAAAACATAGGAGAGTTGGACACATCCTTAAATATCCAACCCTTAATTAACTCGAGAAAGTACAAATAAATTGAGGACATGTAAGAATCCATTATTCTCACAGATGGCACTTTTGCACTAAGATGGGCAGCTGTTGTTGTTGTTAGGTGCCGCCGTTAAGAGAAATACATAAAGATCCCTTTCTCATTCTTCTGGTCAATGATAACTCTGGCATTTGCTTCAAGGCTTTTCTATCGTTGGTGCTATTTATATAGTAGTCAGCTTTACGGCAGTAAAGTTAACTTCTTAAGCAGACTGGCTTCTTTTCAAATTATGGTTTCCCATAAGTAAAATTTAAAGAGATATAATAGAATATTCACTTTCAATATTTTTCCCCCTTTAAGTTCATTAAACATTTAGAATAAATACTAATACACAACCTATCACTTTGTTACGTGCAATGAGGCCCAAGCGCACTGAAAGTTTGTTTGAAAGTCTGTACACAGTTTTGGGGAGCAGGACAAAACTTACTGTTGAGCACATTCTCCAGTTTCTGCGTCATGGATCCTTCTACTTTTTCTGTTCCATCCGCTTCCAGTTTTTGATGGATAGCTTAAAAAAAACAACAACACAAAACAAACCACAACTATAAACGACATTTTTTAAACAGCTTTATGAACTGGTCACACTATTCTCACTGCTGGAAAGGAAAAGTAGGCAATTCTTTGCAAAGGAAGCAGCAGCCATGGGACAGTTTCACACTATTAAAACAGTACATGATACACATACTCATCAGGAATGTGAATTTCAAGGGCAGATGGTAAATGCAGTTGGATTAAAAGAGACGAGAAAGAAAGGATGGGAGATAAAGAAGTCAAGACTGCCGGGACCACGAGTCTTACTGGTAAGATCTCTGACACCGGAGGAAATGGGGGAGGTCTTTCTTATTCCTGACTTTAGCCACTTTAAAGCAGAATCCTTACTACAAGACATTGGCCAACAAAATATTTATTTCACTTGCACCTAGGGATATAGCATGGCAAAATATTAAGTTCTAGTCATTTTTAAAACAACCCTGCAACAAGAATAAATTATTTCCCTAAAGATTCCCAAGAAATACCTCGTAACATCTATCAACAAGAGGCATACAAATGACACTGGAGTTTTACTATTACTGTTGTTTGCCTATCTAGTTCCAGTGAAGATTATTAAAACTCCAAACACTCACTACTGTTGAGTAGGAACCAACTCATAGCTGGTCCGCACAGTAGGAAAGACATTACCTGTCTTTTCCTGTGGAGCCATTAGACCCAAATTCCACAGAGGCACTACTTTTGAATTAGTAGTATAACTCCTCGGGGACTTAGGGATTCATTCACTAGATTGTGTTTTTTACATGTTTTACTTACTGAAGAGGGGTGGTTTGGGGTTGTTTTGTTCTTGTTTTTGGTTTTTTTGTTTGTTCCATTTAATATTTTTAAAAATTTTCATTGTGACTTTTAATAAAAGTTCACAGAAAAGTTAGATTTTTATTTATTCATTCTTGTGCCTTTTACCCCCTTTCCCTCCCTTCCCTCACTCCAGTTCACTATTTTTTTCTTTTTTTATTAATGATTTTTAATGCAACATATATATATTTTTTACAGCATATTCTTTCCATTTAATTTCCCCCATTCATTCACTGTTACACATTTTCCTCCCTACCCACTCCTCTCCCAGTTTGTTTTTCTCTTTGAAAAGGAAAAAAAAATTCTTTCATTCTTATACAACCACCCCCAAGTCCACAGTTCAGTTTACTATGCATTTCTTTTTCTGTAATCTTGTTATGAAAATAATACCTAATCCTATATTCCTGTTAAACAGTTCTCTCCATCTGTTCCAACTGAAGAGGGGTAGCTTTAAAAAATGCAAATGAGGCTTATTTAAATGAAGAACTTTTTTTAAATTTTGATTTTATATTGATTTGCTTACAAAGTTCACATACATTATATTTCACACTATCCTTCATTCACGTTTCATACAATCATTCCATTCATTATGTTTTCGAAAATTAATCACCACTGAACTATGCCCCCATTACTTTGTCCTTCCAAATACCCATTAGATCTTTCTCATTTCCTTTAACCCCCTCCTCCACCTACAAAATTGTGTGATCCTATGATTTCCCTCGCAACCATTCTCATCCCTCTGCTCTCACCATCCCCCTTAGGATTCTCATACACATTTTACTAGTTACCTAGTTCTACAATAACAGTCTTATGCAGTATTTATCCTTATGAAACTGAATTAATTCACTTAGCATAATGCTTTCCAGTCTCTTCTAAGCTATGCAGTAATTTTTTAAATAGTTGTCCCTAAGTGCTGTATAGTATTCTATTGTGTGAAAATACCACAATTTCTCAATCCATTCAATTGTGGCTGGACATCTAGGCTATTTCCATGTTCTTGCAATTGTGTATAAAGCTACTATGAACATTGGTGTTCAAATCTCCTTTTGTGTCTAAGTTCAAATTTCCTCAGGATATATTCCAAGTAGTGGAACAGCCAATATGGAATTTCTGTATTCAGCTAAGAGCCTAAAAATATTTTTAACTCATCAAATACAATTTAAATTCTAATATAAAAAATTTTAAAGTAACAAAAAATCTCTAGACCAATTTTAATTAAGCCATGGTCATATTCTAAAATAAGCACAATGCTAAATTCTATCATGGATATTGCTCATCTCAACCTGTAAGAAGCCAATGAGGTATGTCCTAATATTACTTTAATTTTATAGATAAGAAAAACATGGCCCAGTGAACTTAATTGACCAAGGTCACAAAGCCAAGCCAAATCCAAACTCAAGCAGACTGAAACAAAAACCTACTGTCTATCTAGCTGGAAGAAACCACTTAAGCTATTCAGGAATTCCTCTTTGGGGTTCTTATCATCCTTGGTTTGGGGATCCCGTCTTTGGGGTTCATATCAACATTGTGTATACCTTTTTTTATTGATTGGGGGCAGAAGGATGCAAAGTCACCTCAAATTACAAATTTTATTTGGAATTCTAAAATAAATAGACTAAAAAAACCCCCAAAATAAAATACAGTAAACAGACTGCTTCTTTGCGAAGTGCAGATCATATACCTTAGGCCAGCAGATGCGGGTAACCCACTAAACCCCATTTGTGATGGGGAATGGGATTACAATTATTCTCCATGAATGAGAATCCCCAGTAAGTGCAGGTCTTTGCAAAATAAGCACATGTATAGAAAGAAAAGGAACTACATATGGAAAAAAGCAGCCACTGTATTTTATTTATCTTTGTTGGTTCAAAAATGAAGAAATTTGGATTGTGTGACAGAAGTGACATATAATGTTTCCACATATCAAAGCTAAACTTAATTCTAACTTGCAAAGTACAACAGGACTTTCTTATTTTTAGGGGAAAGAGAGAAATGACGCTCAAATATTATAAAGCTAAACTAGAAAAATGTACAGGCTCTAGATAAGCAGACCCATTTCCACTATTTATTTAAATGCTGCTGTGTTTTTTATAAAAATTCTCACTGTGAAAGAGCTACTTGGCACAAGCACCACTTTTTCCTGAGTGAGTACTGTAGGAGGTTGCCGGCGGCGACAGTCATTCCATATTTGGGGTGACAGGAACAGTAGCCTGGCCTGAAATGTTGTATTCCAACTAAAAATCTACATGAAAGGAAATCAGGCAGTCCCATTTTCTGATGCTGACAAAACCCATCACTGATTAGCAGGTCAAGATGAGGTGAGCCTGGCTCCTGAGCTCGGTTTACAGGCCTCTTTCGCTGACAAAGCAGCTTCCTGCCACCCATCTCCACCACAGCAGAGCCACTGTCAAACCGTCCGGCAGCATCAAGACGCCAGACATAAGATCTGATAAAGGCAATCCCATTTTCCAGAAAATTAAACCGAATAACCCCATGTCTGGTTCACGTGACCTTTTATTTTCTCTGAAAACAGTCTTAAACAGGATAACTCAATAAGCAATTTGGTACATGATCACAAGTTTGTTATTGGTTCTAATCTATTAAAACTTGAATATGTGAAACCACTGATCACTGTAAGTTTATATTTGAGAAAAAAAAAACACACAAAACTCTGTGTATGTGTGTGTGTGTGTGTGTATTACTCAATGAGAAATCAGGTTTACAAAAACATTCACACCTTGCCTATTGATTGGCTGGCATGATCTGATCTGCTGGCATCATCAGATCGTTTGGTTTAATGTTCTAATAACATGTTGCTGTTATTCAGTGTGGCTGACTAGGGTCTGGCTCCCAGTGACCTTATGTACCAAAATCCCAAATCCTCCACCATCCTCACTACCTCAGCTGTGCTGAAGTATCCTGCTGTAGTCAATCCATCACCTTGATGGCCTTCCTCTCCTTCAATGACCTGCACTTTTCCAGCCACAAGTCTTTTTCCAAGGACTAGCCCCTTCTGGTAACATGCCCTAAGTGTGTGAGATGAAGTCTCATCATCCCTGTTTCTAAGAAGCATCCTGGCTTCACCTCTTCATGTTCAGAAAAGTAGAAGTCCAAAAAAAGAGAAAGACCCTTAACTGGATGCACCAACACAGCAACTCTAGTCCCTGTAAAGGACAGAAGGGAGTTTGAGGATGTAGTAGGAATAGGTAGGGTTTCCTTCTATTGTACACTATCTGAGATGAGAAGGAGTTAGCTCAATGGTGCCTATGTAGCAACAATCACTAACAATATGTGAAAAAAATCCTAGAAAAGAAATAATTAGAATTCAACACATAAGTAAACAAATACATCATAAAGTGAGATTCATAGTAAGTATGCCAAGATGCTTCAACATTGTAAAAACAACAACATAAATTATAAAACCACACTATTAACACATTCATAATACCAAGAAGAAAAACCATGTGATTATACAATAGATACAGAAATGGCATTTGACAAAATACAACATCCATTCCTGACAAAAACATTAAGCAAAATAAGAGCATGAGGACATTTCTTTAATATAATTAAGAGCATGTACCCAAAACTAGGAAGCAGGGCTAGACATCCACTTCTGAAACAACAAACTTAAAAAACAAAAACCCTCTGGATGTAGTTGTCGTGTTATGTGCCATTGAGTTGCCTGTGACTCATAGTGACCGTATGTACAACAGGCTTAAACCCTGCCCTATCCTGTGCCAATCTCACTGTCTCTGACACACCTACCCCCATTACCCCAGTCACTGAATCAACCCACCTCATTGAGGGTCTTCCTCTCCTGTGCTGTCCTTCCACCCTCCCAAGCAAGATGTCCCTCTCCAAGGACTGCTCCCTCCATGGAACATGTCCAAAGTATGTCAGATGAAGCTTCAGAATCCTTGCCTCCAAGGAGCAGCCTGATTTTACTCTCTCCAGGACAAACCTGTTTGTTCTTTTAGCAGTCCATGGTACATTCAATACTCTTCCCCAACACCACAGCTCAAAGACATCAATTCTCTTTCTATCCCTAGTCACTGTCTAGCTCTCTGATGCATAGCAAATGATTGCAAAGACCATGGCATTATCAGGCACACCTTAGTCTCAAGACTGACATCGTTGCTCTTCAGTACTTTAGAGAGGTCT